AGTATATGTGCCAAAATGCTGCCAAAGTATTCTCCTTTACCAGTTTTTATATGCAAAATTTGTATTAAGTTCCAGCAGTTTATATCTGTGTAATCAAACAGTATCTGTTCATGATCATCACTTCCCCAGGATAGTGCTAACAAACAGAATCTATGCAAGATCACCTCTTCCTCAACATCGCCCTCTGGAACTATCTATACAAGACGATCTTCTTCCACCCCCATTATTTTAAAAATATGAAACAGCAAAACAAAAGTATGTATATATTATTATATATATCTATCTACTGAAAAAAATATGCATACCAATACATATGTATATACAGTGGGTTGTTTACCAGGTGTTCTGCAGTAAATAATTCTAATGATAAAATACATATACTATTTATTTATTATTATCTACATATCTATTAAATCAATAATAACATAGACTTATTTTATACTAAAAACACATTTACATATGTAGTGGTCATCTTTTACTTACATAGATCAATACCAAAATAATTATTGAATTCGCATATTTATGTTAGTTGATAATATTATACTAATTATATTCATAGTCTAATGCAATTACCGGTACATTCCTTAATGAATTTATGAACTTTTTTTATATCCTTAGATAAAGCAACTAATGCAAGAATTTTCTTACCCATGTTCCTCCATGTCCGTAATACTTAAGCGGCACGACACCATACTCATCTTTACAAGTTTTTACTTTTAGCGTGAATGGTATATCCATTGATATGTGCAATGAAACAGGTCTATGAGAAGTCTAATTTGTTGTGAATATTTCTGTTTAAATATCTAGAGTTTACAACAGTGTGGTGTCAGCTGGAGAGAAAGGGAGGCTACCCATTTGATAAGTATATTGATTAAAATATACCTTCAATCTGACACCTACATAGATTTACAAATACCAAACTATTTAAATTCTTTCATTCATATTTAAATATCAATTGTATTATTGTCAGATGTCTTAAGTAAGAGAACTATACCTAAAAGGTAAATCTAATGATACTGTATCCAGGGCATTTGTAAAGGAATGTGAAGCACTGGGTGATTGGGGGTCAAGAATATTAGATAAGATTTAGGATGTGAATGGCTTGTGTATTGTGTTACATCTACGATTTTACATATGCTACTTTCCATCCCTAAAATAGCACCAAAAGCACTTGATTTTTGTTTACAAAATAGTGGCACAAATTTAAAAGATTTCAACAAAACTTGACAAAATTATGACTAATTGAAATATTGACAAACACTGTTTTACTAATCACCAACAGGAGCTTTTTTTGTCAATAGCACCCAAAGTATTGCAAAAGGTGATCATCAATGATTTGGGATATGATATATAGAATTCTTATATTCTATAACATATTTTTCCTTGTAGGTCACTTTTTGCAGTATATAACTACTGAATAGCTATATGGTAGATCTTCATTGAATGAGTGAAAATCTTGAAATTTCTTATGTTAGGTTAAATATGGCCATGTAACAAGGAATTAAAGATCATGGCATGAACTTTAGATGGTCTCAACTTACAACAGAAATGATTGATTTTAAGGAAAATATCCTTTTTGGTATTACAAAATTAGTAAGTCTATTTTGGATTATGTATTAACTGAAAGTCTATATTAGCTGTTTATCCTGGCAGACAATCTAAAGATATATCTCTCCAACAGTCATGCTCAAAAATATACAACCATTGATTGGTAAAGATATTCAAACTACCAAAACAAACAACATATCTGATGAAATACCTCCAAGAGAAACACATTTTGATCAATAAATGCTTACAGCATATACACTCATACAAATGTCAGAACATTGATTGACAGTTGGTAATAAATTATTTCTTTCCTGTAGATTTATTATGCAATTCAGTTCTAATCTCTATAATTTTAGTTATTGGACTGTACATTAAAAATATATTTTCAGATAAAAATAACTTTTGTGGAACAAATAGATGACCTAATAATTCTTGAAGAAATTTAATTATGACAGGTCCAATATCAAGAAAAGTAATATATCATATTTGTGTTTATTTTGAAAGATTGTATTTTTCCTTGCAAGCTGGGGAAGTAGAAATCCAGCAGATTCTGCTTGTCAGGCAATGCAGAAATAGAGAGTGGAATGGGGTTTAATTTACAAGCGACACAAAATACCTCATTTCAGGACTTACATACAATTTTATTCATAATGCCACAGAGAAAACCCCAGACCCTACTCCTTGTTACATACACGCTTGGGATCAAAACGGCACCAATTGACTGTAAAGCGATTGTCTTTGACCACCCTACCCCCTTCGTTCAATGGAAGAAAAAAAGTTATCAATAAAGTCCCATGGTCATGTAACTCAATTACCATTATTGCCCCACAGAGCAAATAGTGACATAAATCATTTGAAATTTAGTGTGAGTATACATGTATAGTTTATGATTTATCAGATGAGTGAAGAATGGTAATAACAATGTCAATAATATAAGTATATATATCTGTCTATATATCTTATATATATTAATCACTCACATTTAATATCTATATTCTCATTCTTTACATGGAGATTAACCAGGTCAAACCAAAGGGTTAAATGAAACATTGTCCAGCTATCCTAATACAAAATCAAACAAAGATAATCTTAGTAACAAGATGTACTTTGTGACTGATCACTCACTATAAATTTAAATAAAACAATTTATCATATAACACAGAACAAGTGAGAAAATCAAGGTATATTGACATTAACATGGTTAATATTTTGAACCACTGCAGGAATAATCGTGTGAATTTAGCAATTGTTTTTATTATCCTTGCACATCTTTCATGTTAAAATTAAATTGTTTATATTCATAGGAGAGGGGTTAAATAGGCCATGCCCGTTTTCCAATCCCAATTATTTATGAATGAAATATTGTTCATCAAAAAAAAAGAATAATCCAGTTGTAGTATCCACTACAGGTACATCTTGGTGTGAATACAATAAAACTACTGGATATATGAACATATCAAATAATCTGGTATTGGTAGTTCTACTTGTAGCTCAATAACAACCTAATAAACAATATTATATATTTTTCTTATGATTTTAGTAATACTGAATAAATGATATTCCATATTTTCTTATAATTGAAAAAATACTCAATTATATAACACATGCCAATTTATAAGTTCACATATTGATAATATTGCATGAATAACATTGAATAATCTTACTTACAAAGTGAGAATCTTCTCATCTAGATGTAGCAATGTAAATCTACCCACACTTAAAACCCAACAAATTCTAAATTTCAATGGTCGAAACACTGTGATTAAAGGAAAAACGTAGATATGTGGCTTATAATGCCTCTCATCATTGGAATGTCTTAAAGAATGTCATTATCTGAGATATAACAATATCCACAGGTTACCAAGCGTTGTACCTGATTCTTTGTACAAGTAATCTAAACTTATATCTTTCCAGTTTAGTAAAACTGTTTCAGGGACTGCTCTAACATCATTACCCTACGATTTGTGTATTAACATAACGAGAAGAATCAACACAGACCACTTAAATCACCTGTTCTCAAATACCTAAAACAAAGGAGGGATTTAGCCACAAAAGTCTGCAAACAAAAACAGATTTTCTTTCAGCCATTTTCTATTTGCAGAATAAGATTTTGCTACATAAGTTTCATTTGTAGGATATTTCTTTTTTTTTTTCTTTCAAAATGTACTTCGTCACCTAGTCAAAAAACACATAGTTATTTTTTTACAACAAAGACACTATGAAGAAAATGAGAAATTTTTTCTTAACAAAATGTATTTGTGTTGGAAGGAAATTGAATATAAAAGTTTGCAAGTTTCTTTTGTTATAGCAGGGGTCCAGCTGCGAATGCTTTTGGCTTAAATGGGCGCTCTAATTTAGCCCAACAGGATTCATAGGTGGGGGGGTTGCATGTTAATGATTACTTCATAAATGTTTTTATTTTAATTTTGTTACAGTCATTTATTTGTTTATGAATAATAAATGACATTTTACACTATACCCAGATGTGTTTGTTGATTCTTTGATTGAGGCACACAAAACATATTCTTGTATACTATGTTTGCATTGGTGAATGCCCACTCTAATATTGTATAAAGAGAGGGTAATGCTACAGATCAATTCAATTCCTAGACATTGTACTTTACAAGGTATGGTTGATTAACTGGTCAACTATTTTATTGATCTGATGATTTTACAGAAAACTTTTAAATCACCCACAATGATAGAGCAATTGTTCAATGTTCATTAGTTAATGATAAGCCATTAGCATATTTCAATAAAATATCAAATTTCTCACAGCTTACTTAATCCATGCTAATATGTACACAGATTGATTATTTAAAATCTAATTAAGAAAACAAAATCAAAATACCAACGTTATATAATGTACCGGCTTGGATTCAATTGGATTTAAAAAAGCCTATCAATAAATTTTTCTGAACCATAAAATGTTGGTAGGCTTATTGCATAGCGAGCAGCATAGATTGATGAAATTTCAATTCCAGATATCTTTTTAAATACTGAACAGAACTGTACACTGATATTCCTATCTTTCACGGTAGTTTGCAAGTGATTCTGTATCACTAAAATGATGTATCAGGACTTTAAGGATATTTATTGAGCTGTCTGCATGAGCACTGACTAGTTATCTTTACCATAAAAAGACAGTACATTTTCCTCATTCTGCATAGAGAGTTCTCCAGTTGAATTTTTATACATGCATTGTGATTATTCAATTTAAAAATTAAAATTCTATTCTATCACCTCTTTTATTCATTTTTGCAAAATAAATGACTATCGGATTCCTCAGCCAAATACTGCCAATGCCAGTCAGATAACAACCTAACATAAATACCAGGGCTGGCCTTGATCATAACGAAGTAATGCACAGAATTACATAAATCTTGACCAGCACCAAATTAAATAAATTATTTCAACCAGCACCAAATTAAATAAAATCCATATAAACTTACAAAGACAAGTTGACCTCCTTCATTGTTTAATTTGATAAACTCAGTTTTCAGATCTTGTAACTTTTGGAGAAGTTCAGACATATGTTGATCATTTGGTTGAAGCTCACAGGTTAAACCTAACCAAGATTTATCATCTGTTGAACCTAAAAAAAACATTAAAAAAAAGAGTTGCTATAATAAAGCTGGATAAATGTAGAAGTGGATAGACCTCCAAATATTTGTTGAAAACATGTCTAGAAAACTTTGCATATAACAGTCAATTAACTTATACATATAACTTATATCATATAATATCTGATCGTCTTCACCTTGTCCATCAGTCATGAAAGTATAAAAACATCAACATGTAAGCCCGACTACCACTGGCATCAATAGAATGAAATATTAGCAGATGAGAGTGAAACTACTAGGTCAAATATCATTGTGAATGTTTGGACCATATCATAAAATTGAACAAAATTGACTGTCGATCGACTGAAGATTAATTCACTTATCTTAAAGTCAGTAACCTATTGCTCCTAAACCTAATCTTTTATTATGGATGCTGTAACTTTTTTGAATGTCAATTGCATTAAAAGGCAGCTGTTGTCATTTCTGATGTTCGATTTTAATGGCTGTATATGTGATGCCATCAAATGAAGTTCAATCAGTTAAACCAGTGAGGTACTGTTCAATTGAGCCTAGCCAGGACCAGGGTCTAGTTGTTCGGATAGAAAACTGATTCTCGTGAACGTCTTGTGATGCACGTAAAAGAACCCTTGATAGTTGTATTTCAATTGCTATCGGGTCAAACTTGAACTCACAGCACACTGCTTGACATATACCCATCTTTATTAATGTGGTTGGAGCAGATTCATTGAATCATTCTATTTGATTAAAGACAAATTTATTTTAATTGATGCCAGTGGGAATGGCACTTCATCATATATTATATTTTATGATATTACATATTGAGACGTAAATACATACCCGGTATAGATTTAAATATTTGGTCTTCTTCTAAAGCATCTGTATTATTTACATTATTGAGATTTTGATCTAATGATTTTAAAAACTCTGTATTTACATCTTTACAATTATTTAACAAGTCTGACATCTTTCTATGGTTTTGTTCATTAAAAATGTCTTTTCCTTTAGGTGGAAGTTTTTTAAGGAACGATTTACTAAAAACATTTACACAAAATGGAGAGAATAAATCTGTTTCTACGTGTTCTGCATGCTTATTCCCTGAAAATAGTAAAAATATAGATTATGTTATTACAAAATCCAACTAAAATTACATCTTTTATTTCATATATCTTATGGTTCTTAATTTCTACTCTACATATATTAAAGTAGATAAAGTACAATTACTTCTTTGTTTACGGGAGATAAATGCATTAATAAATAAATACAAAATATGTACAAGTAAAAAGTTTTCCACTTTACTTCATTCTGACATGCATTAAATCATATAAGCTATCTGTTTGCCTTCTATAGGCGTCTTCAGTCATTAATAAAGATGCCTATAGAGGGCAAACATCTAGCTTATATGATTACAAAAACTTAAACATTCAAGCATGAATCCTATCACTAACGTATATGTTTTTGTATCATAAGAACAGAATCTGACATAAAGTGAAACTTTTAGGTTTCTATGTTTGTTCTAAGGGTGTTGAGATAAAAGAAGACAGGAAGAGTTACCTTTCCTTTCTTCAAATAACTGATGAAAAGGATCAGGATCTTTGGTAGCTTTGGAGTGGGAGGACCGTAAATTCTTAAATAAACAAATGAATTATATTCATTAAATAAAATATAATAAAAGGAATTTGATAAAGGTAGATATGCTAGCAACATAAGATATCACTTTATAGCACAACATATTTGTACTCAAATCTAAAAGAAAATGATCATGGAAAATTTGGTAAATCTTGACCCAATGAAGAAATGATTGAAGGATTAAAATATGAGAACTATTAGATGCAAGAATTTGAATTCTTATTAAGATTAGTAATGTATTTAGGAAAATCATGTACATTATAGTACAATTAAAATAAATCAATGATTTATCAACTGCAACAACTAAAGGTGGGCTAGAATATAATTTGCAAAGATCAACTATGAAATGTTACATTTATCGTGAGAAACATACTTTATAAAGCTCATCTGTTTGTTCTTTTATTTGTCTGACATCATTACTGACTTTCTGTTCTCCTAGAATTATTTTAACTGTATCTTGTCGAACCCGTTCATGTTCTTTCTTTAATCTGTAATACGATCAAATATTTACAAAATAATATGAAAAATAGGAGTAATATCAAGCTACGATATCAAACAAACCAAGCTTTTTAAAAATAAGTGTTAAAGATGTTCCAAAAAATATTTCATACATTTGTGAAATGTTGAACACAACTGCATCATACAGCTCATGCTTTAATATGTGTTTGCTTATATATGCAAGATCTGAAATATCATTCGTTATTTTTATCTTACAGGTTGTGGTGAGTTTTGTGTATGATAGGGTATGCTTACTACATGTATTTCTAGAACACTTGATACCACTTATATACTTGAGAAATTTACAAGCTGTCGTATAGTACGAACCTAAAAACTATTTCTTCTTGTTTTTCGATATAATCTCTATCTTGTGTTAGACGTTGTTGTAATTCTGGTAGGTGAGAATTACCAGCCTTTTCTAAAACATCATACTGGAAAATACAAATAACAAGATTCAATAAGATTTGAATAAAAGTCTCCTGTATCACTACAGGCCCGGGACTTTCCAGCACAGCGGATGCTTGCAGCTAGCCCCCGGATCCATTCACTTAATTTGCTATGTGCGTTTGTTTGTGATTTCTGTATATTGTGTCTTGAGAGATACAACTACTAGCCCGGGCAGACTAGCCATCTTGTTTATATTTTTTAGCAAAAGTATTAACCATTAACAAAGAAATGAAACAATACTTTTTCTAAACCTCATTTATATTGGATTATAGATATGATTTGGAAATTATATCCGATGGTTTCATCTGGAGTCATGCTATTAAAAATAAAACAGTCCTTACCAGTTGAGTTATTAATTGAATTTTTTCCTGAGTTAACTCTAATCTTTTCTTTTCTCTTTCAGCTTGAATTCTCCGTCGTTCTTTTAAGCTCATCAACTTCTGTTTCTTTTCCTCATATTCTGCCACCCTATATAAAAAAAAAAAATAAAGTAAAAACAACAAAATCAAAACCGAAAAATATTCAAAAGACCAAAGTTCAAAATGACATGTAAGAACCGCAACTACCTACATTGACTTAAACTCTTGATTAAACTGTGGTATTTTTCCAACTTATTTTTTGTTTGATTATGTATATATCTAACAAGTCTGAACCAACACAAGGGTCAACTACTTTAGTACTAGAACTATTTTTATGGTACTTATTAAGACCTATTTCAGGGTAATCAAACAAGTAATATAAGGTATAGACTTTAAATGACTAACTTCAAGTAGACAGATCAAAGATTTATAAGATTTAGTGACTTAATAAAAAGCATTTTTTTGACTTAATGCCAGATGTCTTTTATTTTATGTAACTACCTAAATTATTTAAATTCCAGTTTAACAAAGAAATAATCTGTCGCCACTAATGACAATCAAAAACTGATCGAATGAACTTCTTTTTTAAATCCTCTTTTGATGAAACAATATCACAACATCCTAATAATATGTCATATGCTATGAGGTAAAAATATTTCCCAAAAATGACACTAAAGTTTCTGTGACTGTAGCAATAATTCAGCAAAAACTTGCCATTCAACAATTTGGTGTAAAACTGATGCATAATCAATAGGGCTTAATTATATCTTGATCATCCAGACAATCCCAGAAATTTGGAAAACAAATCTCTAAAACTCTGGCCTGTAAGAGCAAGTAGTTACAAAGGTTTGGTTACAAAATGGTTCCTCTTTGCGACTAGCAATACTATCCTTGCAAGTTTAATAAAAAAAAAATTAACAAAATATATGAAAAGTGTGCACAAATATTGTGGACAGACGGGTGGACAATATGCTTCTAGTCAAAATGTAATCTTTTTTATGAACATATTGCAGACTGACCAAGGTTAAAAAATTAACAAATAACCTACCTTTTCTTGCCCGCTTGTAATGAACCTGGCGCTATTCTGTCTGGTAAATTTGTAAAAACATTGATAGGAACCTCTAGTGACTGACCTGACAATAAAGAATAAACAGTTTACAAATAAAACCATTGCCAATCAAAGTCAAAATCGGTTATATACTTGCCAGTAAATCTTTGTTTTGTCTAAACAAAAGTTGAATGCAAATTTAAGGTTTAATGTGGTATAAACTATAAACCTTTCAGTTTAAAGAATGTGAGAGATGGGGGTTTAACACAATCTCGGTCATGTTTTGATTAACATATATCTTTATTTCAATAATCGCATGAGTGCAGGGGTCTTTTAGCAGTCGGAGGAAATCAGAGAATGCAGGGAAAATCCATGAGGTTAGGTCAGCAACCCTACCCTGTGTAACCTACAAGTGTGTGATCAAAACCACAATAATCGACTCATGACAAGACTTGCAATCTAAAATGCCACGCTACCATCAACCTCATTTTATATTACATATATAATAATAATAATAATGGACATTCTGTCAGTTTGACTGCTCTGTGGCGTTTTACAAAGGACATGACATAGATAACAAGCACAAGTAAAACAAAATTATCAGACATACACAAACTTGACAAGTTTCATTCACAAAATACAACATAAATTTAATTTTGATAATTAATTTGAAAATGTTCTGTTTTTAAAACATTTCTTGAAAGTTTATATATTGGATCTATATTCTGGACAGTTTTTGATATTCTATTCCACTCTTTTGGACCAGTGTAGACGAAAGCTCTTTCTCCAAGTTTGGATTTAGGAAAAGTACAAACTAACTAATTACTATTAAATCTGTCAAATAAGCTGGTGTAGAAGGATCATGGATACAGATAAGGTATTCATCTTAAAAATGATCCTGTGTTTAATAGGTAGTGGATGCAGATCTTTTAAAATGGGTGTAACATATTCAGATAGGTTAGGCCTGGTCACAATTCTGGAAGTCTTATTCTGAATTTTTTGTAGTTGATCAAATAGGTGATATCAAGGTCTATAAATGGTTGAATTTTTCTGATATTGCACACATGAAAATTTGCTTTTTTGCTGATGTTGGACACATATATAAAAAAAAAGATGCCTGATAATCAGGCCCTGATTTTTGTTATAACATTATACAGTCTACTACTAGTACTACCAAAGATAGTTATTTTTAAATGGAAACTTTAAAATTGAAATGTACAAGGTCATTTATGGTGATGTATACCCTTGAAGTTAAACATTAATTCATGATACTTTATGGGAGCCATTTGAAGTGACTTTTGGACGTCAGATAATTGAAAAGGGATTACTTATATAGATATATGTTTATTAGTTTGTAAATATATGAATAAGATCAATAAGCATGTGAAGTATATATTGTTAATATATTGACTATAACAAGATGTCTGACAATATACATATATTTGTTCTATAAATGAACAATACAACTATTTGTAAGTCAGAAGTAAAGTGTAGAAATAATATACCGGTAATCTGGCCTCAATGGAAAAAATAGAATTAACTACACCATGTTCTAAAATAACAAACTCTTAACACTAAAGGTGAATATCACAAAGGTATGAAATGGGAAAAGTCTCATCGATACAGAGAATTTTAAGACTAAAATACGATAATTTTTATTTCTATGGTCAAGTGTGTAATTCATGGGGAAAGTGTTATTTCCACCTATTCTTTTTAAAAATTCCATCCGGGTATCTTTAACATACACTACAAATCTGTACACTGGACCTTGATTTGTCCCATCCAAAGGAATAAGCACAACCCCCCATTCAATAATCCTGAATGTTCTTCTCAGCACATGCCTGAATTTTGGGTTGTTTTGATCCATACAAGTGGTTAGAAACTCTATTTTTATTGACATCCAAGGAGCTAACCTTGACAAGTAGAGACCAGGATTATAAATCCTGAAGATTCTTCTTGGGAATGGAAGCCGAAACAATATAAATATTATGAAATAAAACAGTATTTCATGAAAACATGTACCAAAAGTCTTAAACATAGATCTAATTATATATTTATACAATAATTACTATATAATGTATGTTTTGTCTCTGTTTTTGTAGATTGTACATTCGGAATTTTGCCTGAGCACTACTGTTACCAATATAAATGCCAAACTGTGATGTGTGTCATGCATAAAGTAAGGTATGCTTTCTACATCCAGAACATCCAATACCAATAGCCGCTGAGTATTTTAAGGACACCCTTGATACATTCCTGTGGTAAATTCATTAAGCCAACAGTGTTTACTTTTAAACTAAATGTCGGCAATGTAAGAATCTAGATGTACCTTTCTATGGGAAATTACTTAAGACCAATATCTGAATAAATAGTTGTCATAGCATTCATGAGTTAAAAGATATTCTTAAGACATACAGAAAATATTTTTTGAAAAGGTTTGACCTTGAATGTGAGTACTGCGATATATAAACAAGTAAGACATCAAACGATTACACACATGTAAACATGTGACATGGAACATCATCTAGGTGTAAATATATTTACCTAGTTTGGCAAGTTTAATAAGTTGACAAGCAACAGTCCATTCACCATAGTCTAATCTTCCATCACGATTTATATCAGCTAAATCCCAGACTAGTGCTAGTTGATCTGAGGTTAAACCTGTTTGCTGGAAAATCTCTCTTGCTGTTGAACCTTGTATAAAATTAGAAATAAATTAAATAAAAAGAAAATGGTGTATTTATATTTTCAAATTATTCTGAGATGCAATGAAAATGCTCCACGTTTTATAAATGGATGATTATAAAGATCGTTTGTGACATACATTCAAATCTTGCATGTCTGAATCATCAGATCGCGATAACACTGAGAATGATGTTTCACTGCACACAGAAAATTTAATTAGACGGAATGGAAATACTTAAAAGCATGATTTTATGGTGCAGACATGGGGTATAAAATGTGGCCTTTAAAAATAGCCAGGATAAGTACAAATCTTAATTTGGTTGAAGGTTTAACGATATTCCAAGGTTGACACCTGAGCACAGAGAATTGCCATTGGGTTCATTCATAAACTATCTAAAATGGTCTTTAGCACTAATCCTAGTCATATCTTTTTTAAAAGTGATTGTTTGAATTCTTTAATTTTTATTCTAAGTGATTTCAATATTACAAAATTTGTTTATTAAAGCCCTAACACACCAGAATTAAAGTTAAATATGGCATTAAGATCGTACATAATCAAAATTTGTCTTACTTATTTTGTGCAATGATATAATTGATTAATACCTATCTGTTACTTAATTGTTAAATTTTAGCTTTTTCATAATTCTATCTGGATTTTCGCCCTCATCATACGTTTTTATTAAGATGCATGTCGATAGTTCCATTTCATCAACATATCCAGTCTGTATTTCTTATAGATATATAGCTTATTATATTTTGTGCAGTGCCCAGTGACACAGTACCTAACTGTTCCTAAATTATTAGTTTTAACCCTTTTAGTGTTGTCTTATCTGGATTATTGCCCTTTTTATTGTTGGCATTTTATACATTTGAACTTATGGCGTCAAGTGGCAAACTACCGCCTTTACTTTTTTGTGTTTTCTTGAGTTGCTACTTGCTACCCTTATTGCTTGTTTGTCATTTTGAGTCTATACAGGCCCGGAACTGTACAGTGCAATGGACGCTTACAGCTAGCCCCCGGATACATTCACTTGATCTATTATTTGCATTTATTGTTTGTGATGTCTGTATATTATGTCTTGTCCATAGGTTTGTCTTGTGTAATTGTCTGTGTGTGGTGCAGTCCCCCTGCACTTACTATTAAAGGCATGTTGATCCGGAAATTATTCAAATCAATCAATCTTAACTAAAGTTATGGCCATTTAAAGTTCACATTGGTTTTACATTGCCATCTTATCTATGACAAATAAAAGTAATAATAATTATGTTATCTTTTTTGTAAAGCTTTTTTTATACTAGGACATTAGAAAGGAACAGATTTTTTTTTTTTTTTCAAATGTCTTGTCTTTTAGCGACCCAAATGTTGTAATTTTTATTTCTATGGTTATATAAACCATTACAGGATTTATATCACACATTGAATATTATATTTCCTTTTCTTCACCTGTCACAGTTTGATTTATTTTTCAATTAAGATTGATAGAAGTGAAAAGACAATGCAAAAAATTTCAAATACTCAATTTTAAATGTATTTTTTCAAATGTGGGCTATACTATGCATGTATGTATTTTTTTTCTAATCTTTAAAATGTGGGCTATGCATGTATGTATTTTTTTTTAATCTTATGAGTTCTTTTATGTTAAAGGTGACAAGTACCTTCATTATATTTCCAAACCATCAATATGCATTTTTATTCATAGGTTGTTGTGTTGTCAACCTCTACATTTCCAGTGCGATATGTTCATCAAAAAACAAAAAAATTACAATAAATTTGGAGCACTGCTCTGGTTGGTGAAAGAACTTTATACATTCTTTGTTTATGCACCCACTGCCTCCGATAACTGTGACCACTTTTGACTATAATGGCAATGGGCAGGGTCAAAAGTAATGTTAGAGTGACTATTCTGACTTAACCCTTTAGCCTTAGATCGCCCAAAACCACTTTGACCGTGCACAGCTGAGTCGCATGCAAAATGGTCTTATAATATGGAAAGCTAATCACATATCTCGTCTGGCTTGAGGCAGTCATAGCAACAGCAGTTTCGGTCTATTCAGGTATGTAACAGTAATATATACTGTTCAAAAAAGAAATGCATAGCCCATTTGTCATCATTTTTTTATTTGAACGGGATCGTTGTTTTCATAAATCTTACTTGTTTGTAATGCCACTATGTAAGGATAAAAGAAATTTATTATTGGTTTTAAATGTTGGGTCACTAATGGTGACTGGTCATACTTTTTGGAGAAATTTGTTTTTACTTTATTGCACAAAGACACTTGAGTTTAACAACTTTGCAAGCTTTTTGCATGAAACGGAAATCTAAGACCTTTAAAATCCCAGGGTTTTCGGTTTTAAAATCAGTTGCACATGTAAACACGCAACGAGCTAAGTGAACGAAGACCAAAACAAAAACGCTATTGGTCGGTTACAAGCAGGTGAATCCCAGACAGATGTAGTCAGACTGCTGAATGTTTCCCAGGGTACCATCTCTAGCTTATGGGATAGGTACCGACAGCAAAGTTCAACACGTGATCGTCCAAGCTCAGACCGAACAAGAGTGACCACACCTGCCCAGGATTGTCATATCCGGTTACGTCATTTGCGGAAACGATTCACAACAGCAACCTCTACTGCAGCAGCAATTCCTAGAAGGCATAGGATTTCAGCCCGTAAACGCCTACGTGAAACTTGATTATGAGTCAGACGACCCTTTAAAGCTGCTGAAATATGCCGACGCTGTCAAATCCAACTTCAATGGGTTCAGACACACAGGGTATGGCCACAACAATGCTGGAGAACAGTTTGGTTCAGCAAAGAGTCATGATTCCTGTTGCAATGAGGTGATGGTAGAGCAAGGGTTTACCGACGACGAAATGTCACTATGCGTTTCTTTTTTTAAAGAGTACATGTATATAGAACTTTTCTCAAGTTTTCTTCAAGGAAGTAGTTAATATTTACATGTTTCAGGGTTAATAATTTAATGTAATACTATTGTAATAACTAATCCTAACTTTTGATATCATGTGAGGGGAGATAAATACAGCTTCTGGATTTTTTCCCTAGGCATATGGAGGCAGATCACCATTTTCCCATTGACTTTAATGTTAATAATTCTGGTCTCTGTACTTGGCTCCCAACTTTTTACTAAATTTAATGCTTTCCACAACAGACAAAGTAACAACTGGTCATGTGTTTGCTCCAAAGTTTATATGAGGTTGATCAGTGAAATTTGAAGTAGAATACTATAAACATAACTATCCACAGTAGAACCAACCTCTTAGCTGTTATCCTTCCACATCTAGATCAAAAATATTTACCCAAACCGGTCAGAAAATGTCAATTCAAATGCTCTATTTCAATTCTAGACCAAACAATCGCCAAAAAAGACCGTGCAAAAGTGAAGAAATGGGAGAGAGATTATTAATAGGAATTTAACAGTGGTCTGCCTCTATGCAGTAGATTGAAATAACACTAGTATTGCTGGAAGTAAGAGATTACAGAGGAAACCCTACTAATGACCAGCCTATTTACAGTCTATATGTATTAAAAAATAAACAAATCTAACCTTCGATAAAACCAGTCCTGTCCACATCAATAGCTTCAAAAATTTTGGAAAATATTAATTTTTCTTCTTCTGTCAAAAATGGCAGGGCTATTGGTGTTTTGTCTGGTGGTCTGAGAGATGGTGTCAAGGATCTTGGTAACTTCTTGCCTTGTAGAGCGCCATGACAAAAGTGCATTGTTAAGATAAATTCTTCAACTGTTAGCAGATTGTCATTGCTCATATCAGCTAAGTTCCTGCAAGAAAGAAATACATTTAATATATAATAGACTAATTTTTGTTTCGTAACATAGAGACAGATGGATGGTAAAAGCTTGATGTCCATAGAACTCAAGGCTTCTAAGCAGTAGTCAATTATAGATTCTGCATTTTCCCCTGTGTGTAAGACGTGATTTAGTCATATATGATTACATGCACACTGGGGCTCAGTTTTATAGTGAGTTCCCAGTGTATAAGTGTGAGGTCCCTGTTCCTTCACGGGCTCATCTGGTCAATTCCATAACATTTAAAGGAGCTAAATCGCTAACATTTGGGACCTAGAAATTGACAAAAGTGGGTCGCAACGCATATAATACTGTAATATGAATGTATATAAACTGATTTACATTCAATGGTTTCCGTTTTTACTCCAATTTCAAATCAGTTATGTTCGGCGAAAGAAGCCAGCAGTCTCAAGCGAGTGCAAATTTCTAGTGTCTGGTTATTCCAGTCTACATACGCCGTTTGATTTGGTGCAATGTGTCTAGCCTCGTCCCTTGAGTCTATTAATACAACTGGGGTTGAAGCGCATTATGGTACACGATTCGTGTACCAATGGTAAAATGTTTATTTTGTCTTAAATATTGGATATCAAAAGTCCATCTCTTTCCGGTAAGATCACAGCATCAATGTTGATTTAATTTGACAAATAAATCGTGTTCTCAATGTTGAAGATTTTGGATGATATTGAGTTAGAGACTTAGCTACTTTAAACATGTTTAATTGAGGCCAAAAGTGTGTCTTTGTGATATTATGTAATATGCTTCAATAAAGTTAATCTAAATTCAAATCATATGTAAATAACTTTGCATTATTTGACATAATATGTTGTAAACAGTTTTCAGATTATGTGAACTTATTGCCCAATCAAATTGTCTATATTGATAATGTGACCTGTATTTTGTGGTGAATTATGCAAATTTAGTATGAGTCGGTGATACACATAAAACTGTCATAGACAGATTGTGATAGATGATAGATCAGACAACATGTTAGTGAACAAGTGCATAATGCCATGAAATATTCAGGCAGGGCTGACACAGAAATTCAGCCAATCACTGCACTACTATCTATTCCTTTGAACACTAACTGGACATTGGGAGTCAAGTTCAAGCAGGAATTTTTAAGACTAATATTCCAAGCTATAGTACCAAGCGGTACCGGATCTAGGGAGGGCAGAGTGACACACATGTCGGGCCACCCCCGACCCACCACATTTTGGGTTGAGTACAAGATCAAAAGTTCCAATGGATGACCAAGAGATACTAATTTAGATTTGAAATTTAAACATATATACATGTTTATAGTGTCACCAGTTTTTCAGGAAATGTGAGAGTATTCATGAAAACTTGAATACATTAATACAGATATAATAGGTATAGAGGTTTGCTCTGAAATTTGATTTCTTGTTACACTCGGACAACAAACAAGAATCATTGGAATTTTCCAAACCTGTACAGTTTTAATATTTTCTAATACCAAAAAATGTTCAATATTTCTATTTTATTTAACTTGTGTTACTTGCCCAGAATATACCTCAGAATGTACCAAATCAATTCTATTTTTCAAATTTTCTTTGCATCCCACCGAAATCATTGCTTTTTTTTTCTTAATTCCACCCCCACCCCCCATTGACTTTTCTCCCCTGAGTCCCCCACAATGTTAATCATATCCTTTGTAAACACTGTGTACATCAGTTTGGGGTTTATTCGGCTCAATCGGTGTCTGATGCAAGGTGCATTTTGAAACGAACAGGTCAGGGGCCTGGGCCCTGTTTCTTGAAATCTTAACTAAAGATAAAATCCAAATTTTAGTAGCTACTTCAATTTTGATTGGCTAAGCACTAAAATCAATATAATATTATCCAACCAAATTACTAAAATTTGGATTTTATCTTAGTTAAAATTTCATGAAACAGGCCCCAGAATTATATCAAAAGACGTCACAGTAGAAAATAGGGTAATTAAGCTAACATTACCTAACTTCAATAAAAATAATTCTTGGTAATTTTTTATAAAGCATTTAATATTCTAAATAGGCTCATTTATATATATCTTATTATCACAAAAATAATGAAAAATAGGTACACCTACAGAATATTTTTCATATTTAATTCACATTCCAGCTTGAAGTTCATGTCAATATTATTCCCGAATAAAAGACTGTCTTTGTTTATTCAATGGATAAAGTGAAACATTAGTGATGAGAATAGTACAGGATGTCTTAATATCATGTATCTTCTTTATAAAAAGGTAATCACTAGTCAAAAGGCATCGCAGACTTCTACCTGTTGTTCATTAATTGTGTCCATGAACCTTGTGCAGATTTTGCGCTTGAGGAATTTGGGCACCTGAACCTGTCCCCAACCACCCAAATCAAATAGTCCCATTTGAATATGATTGTAACAGAAACAAGACAATGTGGAGTAGCAAATGAACAAAAAGATACTCTCAACAGTCCCAATAAGATCTCCTGTCATTTTCATAAATATCAGCCCAATTAAATTATTCTAATAGAAGACTTTTGAAATTAAGGACCATTTTTCCACAAAAATATAATAAATTTGACACAGGTATATATAATACATATTGTATTACTATTTACAATAGGTGTTATAATTGTAATTTATGATCACGGTAGACAGGTAAAGTTGAAAAATTTAAAGAATGTATGTCAAGTATAGAATAGAATATGATATCTTATGTAAACATTAATGTTAATATTTAACTTTCTTCACAGATGAAAAATACATTAAGTGATTTTATCATAGAAAAGACTTTGCAACATATGTGACCTCTACATAAACAAATACTGATGAGTAAGTAAGTAAAAGGAAATGACTTCATTGAAAGCAATTTTTATGCTGAAGAAAAAATGTTAGCCTCATATCAATATTAAAAAGGCATTTCACATTCTTCTATAAAAATAAATGAGGCGTAATATGTTAAAGATAGGTTGCCAGGCAACAAAACATATACGCCCACAGCAGCTAAATCGTCCGAGCGGTCGTCAAGGGTTGTCGCATATTTATTCCTTTGTACGTAATTGGGGACAGTTCTATACAGATCAGATTATAAATTTTGTCGTTTGAGGGTTTACAAGGTTCTACAAACTGAAACAAGGGTCTCAACTCTGGAAGTAATCTACAGAAATTGTTGAAATTTCACAGGCTTTTTCGTTTTACTAATTTAAAAAATGCATATAAATTTCATACAGATCACATGATCACTTTTGTCATTCAAACATTCACAATCGCCATAACTCTAGAAATTATTAACGGAAATTGCTGAAATTCAATAGACCTGTTTCACAAATTGAAATGATGCATATAAATTTCATACATATTGAATGATAACTATCACCAATCGAGCATTAACAAGGTTTAACAAAGTGAAACAAGGGCAATAACTCTAGAAGTAATTATTGTAAATTGCTGAAATTCAATAGGCATTTTGGTTTCACTAATTTAAATCATGCATATAAATTTCACAAAGATCGGGTGATAACTTTTTGCGTTAGAGCATTCACAAGGATCAATAAAGTGAAACAAGGGCCATAACACTACACGTAATAAACAGAAATTGCTGAAATTCAATAGGCTTCTTCCTTTCACTAATTTAAATAATGCATATAAATTTCATAAAGATCGAATGATAACTTTTTGTGTTGGAGCGTTCACAAGGTTCAATAAAGTGAAACAAGGGGCATAACTCTAGACGTAATAAACGGAAATTCAATAGGCTTCTTCGTCTCACCAATTTAAATAATGCATGTAAATTTCAGAAAGATCGGATGATAACTTTTGGAGTTTGAGCGTTCACAAGGTTCAATAAAGTGAAACAAAGGACATAACTCTAGACGTAATAAACGGAAATTGCTGAAATTCAATAGGATTCTTCGTCTCACTAATTTAAATAATGCATATAATTTTCAGAAAGATCGAATAACTTTTGACGTTAGAGCATTCACAAGGATCAATAAAGTGAAACAAGGGCCATTACTCTTGACGTAATAAAGGGGAATTGCTGAAATTCAATAGGCTTCTTCGTGTCAGTAACCTAAATAAGGCATATAAATTTCAGAAAGATCGGATGATAACTTTTGACATGAGAGCGTGCACAAGGATCAATAAAGTGAAACAAGGGCCATAACTCTAGACATAATAAACGGAAATTGCCGAAATTCAATAGGATTCTTCGTTTCAGTAATCTAAATAATGCATATAGACGTAATAAACAGAAATTGTTGAAATTCAATAGGCTTCTTCGTTTCACTAACTTAGATATTGCATATAAATTTCACAATGATCGTATGTTAACTTTTGGCATTAGAGCGTTCACAAGGTTCAACAAAGTGAAACAAGGGCCATAACTCTAGACGTAATAAACGGAAATTATTGAAATTAAATAGGCTTCTTCATCTCACTAATGTAAACAACATATATCAATTTTAAAACAATTGGATGATAACTTTTGGCATTAGCGCGTTCACAAGAAATTGTGGACGACGGACCGACGGACCGACAGACGGACGGACGGGGGCGACGGCAATATACGTCCACATTTCAATGTGGGCGTATAAAAATATAATTATGATAGATCATCCGAGTATGTATGTAAATCAGACACTTTCAAATTGGATCTTATGCAAACTTTCAACAAATGTACCAAACTTTCAATGAGGTATAAATGTTGTAACTTTCAATTTTCAAGTTACATAAAATTAGTGGTGGTCATCACTCATTGCTTGTTTTTTTCTTTAAATAGTTGAATCGAAGGTTGCATTATTTTTAGTGAGAGTAATAATTCCCTTTAAATTTTCAACAAGTCAATAGGTATAATAATTCACTTTGATGATAGTTGCTGATGGCCAAAAAAAGAAGTTTTCATTTGATACCATTAGATCAGCCAAGCTCATATTAAATAGTATTTTAACAACCATTCACCAACATGTATTAATTGGGTGGAGTGATTCGGTC